ATTTTAATGTATTTATTTTAATAGGAGAGATTGTTCTTTTTATTTATGAAATAGGCCGTGTGTCCAGATGTATTTGGAGTTGATAAAGCTATCTATACATTGGCTAGGGTTAACTCAAAGATATCTAAACTTCTGGAATGAAGAAGAAAAAAAGAATTTCTTCCAGAAACTTCCATAAACAGGTTTACATTCCCCTAGAGGGATGTTTTTTACATACTGGAATTGGATCTAAACGACTTCTCTTCTAGCAACTAACTTAGATGTTTTTCTACTCACAAATTAACAATTTTCTACTAGCGAAACCACTGAGAGGGGTTCACCTATGATGAGCCAGGCCCTCCCACAATTATTGCAGTAAGGACAGCAAAAATTGTTTATTATTTACTATACTAAATACATGAGTTTATAAACTGATTTAAAAATATTAAATTATGCAAATTTTAAGTCCACTTACTACCTCTTAATATGTATATATATATTAGTAAATTAAATTTAATTGCCATCTATCGTTAATATTTTACACAAATAAATTTACTGGCAATGCGTTTCTTTTAAATATCATCAAATGTTATCTCTACAGACCTTACTGTAATGATACATTGCAGTAAGGTCTGTAGAGATAATATTTGATGATATTTAAAAGAAACGCATTGCCAGTAAATTTATTTGTGTACACTATATATAGTATACTAAAAAAAAACATTTTCAAAAGACTATATATTTCTTAGATGGACACTATAAATGTCTAAAAGAGCTCCACATAAAAAAATAATAATAAAGAAACGCATTGCTAATGTGTTTTTTTTATTACATTTCATATTTTTCTCAAAACCATATAACAATTTTAATTCTTTTAATCATTTTTCTATGTACATTGTTTATATTTAAAATAACGTATACGTTAAATTATAAATGTAAATTAACACACAAGCAAAATAACTCACCATCTATATATATAAAATTAAAGGATTTAAAAACACGAAGGTTTCTTTTATACATAATGCAAACTTCTACTGTCCTTACTGCGATGAAAAAATATATTGGGAGAGCTTGACTCATCAGTGGTGAACCCTCCCAGCGGTTTCGCCAATTTATTCTACCAGACCGCTTCTTTATAGTTAATGCATATTATAGTAAGAAATCTAAATTATTTCTGACGCGTATGTTTCTTCTTAACAATTTTCTACGGGCGAAACCACTGGGAGGGTTCACTTCTGATAAGCCAGGCCCTCCTATTAATTTATTGTTGCATTAAGGACAGCAAAAATTGTTTATTATTTACTATACATGAGTTTATAAACTGATTTAAAAATAATAAATTATGCAAAATTTAAGTCTAAATCGCTTTAGTCTGTGTTTTCAAAGTTCAAATTGAATACATTTCCCTAACTCATAACTACAAGGTAAAATACGTATAGGAACTATTTCATGTTTGTTGCATTTCTCTATAAATCTGATTATTTTTATTTTTACAATATTTATAATTAATTATTCTAGAGAACTCTCTCTCAAAATATTCAACCATTTTTACCCTAAAAGTATTTTCAAAAAGACAAAAAATATATATCTATATAATATAATATAATGCTGTTTATAATTGTAAAACGACATTTGAAATACTATCCCGCATGTGTTTCTTTTCAACGAAAAATCAAAATTTTTTTCAAGGAGAAATAACGATTATTTCTAACCTTTTGGATGAAGTATGAAAGGGTGAATTGTGAAGAGTAATGATAAACGGATAAAAATAAAAGTGTCCAGGGATGGGAATCGAACCCACAGTGTTCCGCTAACCGGGCAGATGCCATGTCCACTAGGCTACCCTGGACATATTTTTTCCGTTCGTAAATAATACATAAAGTAATTTATAATACAATATAATATAATGCGGCTTATAATTATATATCTATATCATATATTGTTGCCCCAGGTTGCGGCTTGGCAACCTCTTCAACCTTGATTCTCTCCTGTGCCGGGTCTTGCATCTTACCAGAACGTGTTTCAACCATCCTACCAATTTATATAAGGGAATAAAGAGTTAACTTTAAGTAGCCTCCAGAATCATCTATTTATTTCTCACATCAAAAGAGAGCAGTGAAGTCACACAGTGTACCAAAATACAAATGGTGATTTTATAATACATATATTCTGTTTATAATATATATATATGAAATAATGTTGAAGTCCTAGTAGCTCTTGTTGTACTGTGTTGACCAAGAGGAACAGTCAGGATGTAGAGTTTTCCAGTACCTCTCTGCACCTTGGAAGACCTTTAAAAGTTCTCACAAAATACAGGCAGTCGTGGTCAAGGCAGAGTGGTAAAACTTGGGGATATCCACACAAAAAACGAAGACACAGTTGCACTAAGAAAGTTCCGTAACAGATAAAAGTTGAGCCAGGAGCGAAAGATGGAGACATAGAAGTTTCTTGCTCGTCTACATGATAGTTGAGATCGACATAAGGTACGACCGACGTGAGCTGACGCTAAGGGTGAACTAAACTCAACTGACTGAACTGTACTGAGCTGTCAAGCCACTGTAAGGTGATGATTTATAGGTTAAAGACGGGGTGACCTTATGTGACAGGGGCGTTTGAGAAAGGGCGCCTTTACCTGTCCAGGTGTGAGAGGGGTCTCTGCATTCCACCACATGTGACAGTGTGGGTGGCCTGTCGTGGGAACTGTGAATCTACCTGATTTATGACTCCCATCTTTAGACTCTGTTGTTTTGGCAATTCTATGCTCGATCTCTGCTTTAGCTCAACTATTAAATCTATTACAGATTTTATTTATTTATCCACTTTGTACAAATTACATTACATAGGTGATGCAATGACACAGATTAATCATGCGCATAATTATTTATAGATGTGTCTCTATATACAACATGACAATCTTGTTATAAGTTATCTACACAATAAGAGGTTGTTGTTTTAAATTACCATATATATATATTCTGTTTAATAAAATAATAAATATAATATATAATTTTGAATTTAAAATACATATATGAAAAATAATATTACAAATTAAAATAAAATAGGTGCATTAGCCATGATGCAAAAATATATTTTTTTCTGTGAAAAATATTAAATAATTCACAGAGTGTGTTAGGCAGTGTTGCCAGAGATTTAATGAAATCCTCCAGGGCGACCAGAAGACCACACCCAGATTTGAATTGTTAGCCTTTGGTCCATTTCAAAATTAGAATTTTTTACGGTAAAATTATCTTTACTCATTATCTCTGGTATATCTCTAATTTTCCCCAGAAATAATGAATGGGTGTTGAAGCCACAATTTCACCTTTAGATAATTTATCAAATTTTCTTTATCTACATTGGTACATGTGTTTGCTATATATCCTAAGTATACGTGGTATAGGTCATGATAATCATGGTGGGTAGTTAGCTAATTATTTTACTGTAAATCTATCACATTCTATCCATGTAGAAAACAACTCGAATTTTGAACTTTCTGGTTCAAATCACATTAATAGGTACCGCTCAGCAAGAGCAACCTAGTTCATGATAATTGACAAATGAATAATATGTGAAGGTTATTCACATATTAAACAAAATTTTAACGCGGGATTCAATCCCGGTTCATGACTGTTGGGGAATCGAGCGTGTTACCCTCTCATCCACCGACTTTGTTTTTTTGTTATTTTGAACTTTAAATATGTCATTGACCTATTTAGTTACTTGCAATCACTTTGTGGTGGATCTTAACAAATTTGATGGCCTTCCTATCGAAAAAAAAAATTCTACAAGAGTTTGTGAAGCCGAAAGCTTGAGAAGAAAATATGCAATTGTAGCGTTTCCTATTTATAAATATAAACCACAATACTTTGTTTTTTAATATTTAATTACAACAAGGGTAATCAAAATATAAAAACAAAACAAACTTATTATAAAATAAATAAAGCTTCCAGGGTTAAGTTTCTTGTGCAACTTTTTATTTTCAAGCTTTCGGATTTGTCAGTCCTTCAACAGGATTATCACTTTAACAACTTAATAATAAATACAATTTTTATATACACATTATTATATACATATTTTAAATACCTACTATATATTGAGAGAAAAATATTACATTATTTCTGTTTGAAAACTTATGCAAAATTACCAAAAGAAAAAGTACAGTGTTGCCGACTGCATAACATATAAATAAAAATCAATGAATAAATTAAATATTTACATAAATAAATGAATACAAAGCATGTTGCAGAAATGAAACATGAAACTTACCCTCTGTAGCTTTTTGTTCATGATTTATAAGTATTGCAGAGTTTTTTACTTTTCATAAAATAGAAATATCCCTTAGAAAACATTAATTAAATGTTTAATTATTTTTATTATTTACATATTTCCCTTCATTCTAACTATCTATCAGTATTTCCTCTTATAACCAAAACTCATCAAAAAAGTATTGGAGCTAAAATTCTATTTTAGGAAGTGTTAGAATGCGAAAAGTCGTTTTTAAAAATGATTAAATAAGTAATTAAAATTTTTAAAACCTTGCGGGAAACATAAATAATGGTATTAAAACTTCGAAAATGAATAAAATGTAGTTTTTACCTCAGTTATTTATGTAAATAACCCTATATATAGGTAGTAATTTACGTACATTTAACCAACTTTCTGAGATTAGTTTTGGAAGTGAAAATTTTACTAGACCGATCAGTGACCTGCACATTTTATTCTGAAAATCTTTTTTAATTCCCTAATTTACACATAAATACACAAAACTTTTTATATATTCAAACTTTTTAATAAAGAACTATTTTAATTGATTGCCTAGATTTTTAAATAATAAATGTTTAGCTTCTAGAGTATGGCCTAAGTATATTTATAAATATTTTTGAAAAATATTATCACAAAATCAAATTATAACATGTATTACATTTATAATGAATGGAGTAATAAGAAAATACAAATATTGTTTTAATGCATTTCTTAAAAAAAGATGTGCCTCGTTTTTACATAAAATACGGAAAAATACGTCCAGGGTAGCTTAGTGGACATGGCATCTGCCCGGTAAGCGGAACATTGTGGGTTCGATTCCCATTCCTGGACACTTTTATTTTTCCGTTCATCATTACTCTTCATAATTCATCCTTTCATACCTCATCCAAAAAGGTTAGAAATAGTCGATATTTCACCTTGAAATAAAATTTTGATTTTTCATTGAAAAGAAACTCATGCGGTGTAACTTCAAGTGTCGTTTTACAATTACATGCCGCAGTGTATTATATTGTATAAAGAGATTCATAAAATAAACGAAAACTTTCAAAAAATGTTCATTGCAAAGTGTGTTAGAAATATTATCTTCTCACTAAAAATTTCTATACAATCATTTAAAAGAAAAATGTTATTAAAACAAAATCAACCTTTAGTGGTACTAAATTCTTTTTATTAGACAAAAACATGGTGAAGGAAGACGAGTTTCTTTTATTGATGCATAGGTATAAGCTTTCGGGTAAAAACCCTTCAACAGGCGAGCAATTTTTACCCGAAAGCTTGCACCTATGCATCAATAAAAGAAACTCGTCTTCCTTCCCCATGTTTTTCGTCTAATTTCAATTCAGGAGAATTCTTTATCTATATTTGTAAATTATTTTTCTTCAAATCAAAGATACTTCGACCAGTAAATCTTTTTTATTGTTTCGACGTTTCAACAAAAATATTTTGTCCTCGTCAGGAGCGAATAAAAAAGAATAATTTTTAATGCTTTGCCAAATGTTTTAATTTTTGTTCTCTCCTGACAAGGACAAAAGATTTTTGTTGAAACATCGAGATAATAAAAAATATTCACTGTCCGAAGTATCTTTAATGTTAAAAACTATAAATTCCGGCCAGGCAGCCTCTATCTTTACGATAAATTATTTTTATGTTTATAAACAGTAATTGGTAAAATAAATGATATTTTGATCCAATATATGTATTTTTATTTAAAATTTATTTTTTACTTAAACCTTTGGAATACACCTATCCCCCTATTTACACGGTAGATACGTTCCTGAGAAAAACGTGTAAATCGGGGGATAGGTGTACACAGAAATAAAAATAAAATGCATTGGCAGGTTAAAATATGTAGTCAGCACATAAGCTCGGGATTCCTCGTGAGATGTGTACACAGCGCATGTGTTCAATCACAGTAGCATTTAGTATAGTGCGATAAAAACAAAACAAAAAACTTATTTGGAAAACCGTGTAAAAGCGAAAACGTGTAAAACAAGTACCGTGTAAATCGGGGGATAGGTGTACTTGTCATCATTGATAATAATCAATAATTAACACATAGAAGTCTGAAAAGTAAATGCATTTAATTATCTCCAACACTACTTTGTTTATCCAAAAAGAAGAAATTCTAATTCAGGAAACAATTTAAACTTCTAAATGTATTTTGTGAGAGCGACCATCCTTAATGCGATGAATGTAGCTATTATCTCTAACGGGGTATTGTTTTACCAAACTTAAACAATTGTCGAACACAATTAATGGCCGACAGATTCTTCATAGAAATTCACAGGTTCAATTCAACACCGCATTACACCAAATGTTAGGTCATGCATGTTCCAATTCACTAATTTAAATACCAGGACTTTAAATTTAATTTAGAAACACCATGTTTGGATACTCTAATGTAATCAAGAATTTGTGATTTTATTTATAATTATATCATTTATATTAATATATATTTCAATATATAAATGTAATGTTGTATATGATACAATGAATCATTCTTTATTGCATTGTTTACTTCACATTTTTTAAAATATATAAAAAATTTGCCGAGAGAAAATTCATCCATAGAAGGATAGAACGCTTCTCCCGTTTGACGTTTTATTTTGACGGGAGAGGTGCCCTATGTTTCTATGGACTTTTTAAAATATAAATTCATATTCAAAATTATCAACATTATTATATTCTATGCTAATTATACAATTCACACTATTTTTCCAAACAGAATTCCTATACAGTTCCATCCAAATTTTATAGTTACTCGTCACATCACACGGCCAGAAATACTTACATAAAATAGGTCTATCAGAAACCCCAAATTGTTCCTACAGAGAAACTGAACAAACTTCACCTGATCTACGACTGTCCGAACTTTACAGAAGTGAGATTGTTCCCTGATCTAAATGATTTAACTCTCTTACATCAGCCACTTTGTCTATATACATTTTATGAACTCTGTCGATTAATACATGTAAATTTGTAAATATTTTTAATTCTAAGTTCTAATTTGTTTGTTGTTTTGTTTGTTTCCTCTGTAAAAGACGCAACTATTTCAATATATAGCGCTTGGTTGATTAATAAATAAATATAAAACATTAATATTCTATATATTTTTATATTTCTTGAATATTGAGCAATCCATATGAAAATATTAATTAAAGGGCATATTTTGGATCTAATATAAAACAAACATTTTATTTAATATAAAAATGCCAATATTTCATATTCAATATTCATATAGTCTATTATTATTGATATTTATGTGTATATATTTAAATTTTAGCCCCAGAGTTGTAAATATTTTATATATCGTCGCGTGAAGGCATCGCGTGATCATCCGAAGCAGTTTAAAAACAAGAAACGCCCTGATGAAGTTAGGCGTATAGCCTATTGAAATATTGGCATTTTTATATTAAATAAAATGTTTGTTTTATATTAGATCCAAAATATGCCCTTTAATTAATATTTTTATATGTAAATTTATTTAAATTTTCACTATATGCAACTCTTTTATTATCTGTTTTTTAATTTAAAATATTATATTTTAATTAAATATAATTGTAAATAAAGCAAAGATTTACTCGATAGAATGTTTTAAACTAGTCTAGACATTTCGCGACTTTTCCAGAACACCCGACCACCACACTATATAAGCCAGCCAGCCATTTTGTATGCTTGTTTGGTCAAATTCAGTTAATACAGGTTGACTTATTGTTATATTCCCCAAAACAGTATTATGGCTCATTCTTTATCGCTATTTTTATATTTTTTCAATTATTTATACACAAAATGTATTGTTTTAATGCATCTATAAAATTAGAGATACCTCTCTTTTAGTATATATACAGTAAAACCTGTTTATAGCGCCCCCCTCTTGGGACTCACCAAAATAGGATGCTATAGAGAGGAGGTGCTAAAGACGGGTGACTTTTAATGTAAATCGCATCGTACTACGTATTTGAAATCGGGCGCTATAGAGAGGAAGGCGCTATTTAGAGGGGGCGCTATAGGCAGGTTTAACTGTATATATCTGTGATAAGGTCCTGTCGACTTATTTGTGATGAGGTATCCTGTCGACTCTCGCTATAGCTGTGGTAACCGAGGGTCAAACCTGTAGTAACCGAGAGGGACAGTCAGGGCGTGGAGAGTTTTCCAGTACCTCTCTGCACCTTGGAGGACCTTTAACAGTTCTCACAGAGTACAGGCAGTCGTGGTCGAGGCAGAGTGGAAAGCTTGGGAATGTCCACACACAAAAAAAAAAAACGAAGAGACACAGCTGTAGTAGGAAAATTCCGTGAACAGATAGGAGTCGAGCTATGAGCAAGATGGAGATAGAAGAGTTCTTACTGTTTTACATGGTCGATGAGGTGTACCTGGGTACAACGGACGAGGGCTCACGCCGATGGTGAAGTGACTGTAATTTCGGCTAAAACCGAGGTTTTATATACCTTTGCCGAGGGGGGAGACATGCGGGAATTTGGACTTTGAACGGGTGCAAAGGGCGGGGGGCGTCTGCGCTATTCTGCACCCTTTGACCTTGATGGCAACGACTTGCCAAATTCCTCTTTAGGGTTATTGGATTTCTATCTCGATCTCTTTCTTAGCTCAGCTCTTAATCTATTACATAGTTTTATTTATTCATCCTCAGTTTGTACAAAGTACATTACATATGGTGATGCAATGACACATGTCAATCATGCGTATAATTATTTATAGATGTGTTTCTATTATACAACATGACAATCTTGTTATAAGTATTATACAATATAGGGTTGTTGGTTTAAATTACCATATATATATATATTTCATATCGGTTAAAATTTGTTGGAAATAAAAGAGGACAATAGGAGAAAGAACAGATCACCGGAGGATTTCATTGAACGGTAACCTACCTCATACAATAAGGTAAGATAGCACAACAACAACTAACTAACAAAGACATCTATTTATATATGATATATAAAAAAGAGATTTTCTGCTTGATTTTGGAATACAGTCGTGGAAAAGATTATAATAAAATTAGTTATCAAAAATAGCTTTAATTAAGCTAAAGGAATATATAAAAAACATAATTTGATAAAAGTACTGCCTGGCTTAAGGCGTAAGAATCAGAAAATGAAAAACTTATTTACATAATGTACAAAAGGTTTGATCCGGCCATCGGGAAACAACAACAATGAGTTTTTATAGGGGAAGTGTGACCTCTGGCGGTCGATTTAGCAGAGTATTTGAATCTATGAAATATAATTTTTTAAATAAAATAACATTTTAATATAACATATATATAATGTAACACAACAGAGTAACAAGTCACTGGTCAAATAACAATAATAATTATATTGTTATATTTATAGATCTGAGAGAATTGTCATTTCAACAAAGTTGAAGAAAAGAAGTTCTATAGAAAAAGATTCGAATAACTTCTTGGCAATTGTTATCAGACGATTGAAGCGATCTGTATCATCTGTTCAATTACAAGACGCTGAAACAGATCTACTGCGTTGGCGACAGTTTATGTTGACATCTTGTGGACCAATAAGCAGCGAGGTCGTCTGGTAACCTTTATATTTACCTCTGGCTAGATTAAATCCTGGTAATATACGCCCAATTTACCATAATCCTTCTTTGGTTAATATATTTATATATATCTGTATATTCATTCGTATATGTAGTATATATATATATTTGTTGTTATTTATGCAAATATTTTTATATGTTTATTTTGTTTTCATCGTGCTAATTTAATTGTGTTTTTTCAAAACTATTTCAAAAGTATGACCATTTTGGTATGTATTTAATATAATGGATATAAGTGTTTAAATGTAAATTTT